AAGGGGAAAAAAAACGCCCGAAACTCAATGCTTTGCAATTTTAAGGACCAAGGTTGGCCCTGGAAAAGAGTGAGGAAATGCACCTCCTTCTCTTCTTTACAGAGGTGGAGTACTATGGATGTGGAACATTGCATATATTGTTATTAACGTCTTGGTTAGTTTTACTGTATTGTTTTCCTCTCTCTTTTTTTTTTTTAAATTCTTTGCTCCTATCGATAGCTCTCTGGACTAGGGGAAGAAACATTAAAGAATAATAATGTAAACTATATTAATTCTTTTTTTAAAAGAGAGAACACAGGTCTTACTCTTCTAGCAGCTAAACCAAAGACTTACTGTTTTTGAAGTACTTTGAGAACCTTGGAAAACAAAAGTGAAGCAGAGGAGGTTATTTCTCTTGACTTTGAACTCTCTTAACGCTTTCCCTACCTTCAGAACCCACTCCTGAAAAGCTTGTTCCCTTGCTCAGTCGTCATAGGCTTTCCTGCCAGTCTCGGAGAGGCAAAGGGAGGCCCAGAGAACTCTTCCACTTAATTCCTGGAGTCAGGAGGGAGGGAGATTAGATCCTCTGGCAGAGAATGAGATTGTGGAGTTTTGTTGCTCCTTGTCTACGACCTACTGTGCAGGTATCAGGGATGAAAAGTCCCCCAACCTATTAAAGTCTTTGCATACATCTGCTCTAGATTTCCTCACAGGAGTGTTATGGGCTGGCTTGCAAGATATCCCAGAAGGACCAGATGTTATGGAAAGAAAGGCTGCCATGTTGTCCTCTAAAAAGACACCAAAGATGGGATAGCTTAAAGCTGCAGGTGACAGATGAAAGGCAAATATGTTTTTCTGTAGCTAGAGCCATCAGTAACTTCCAGGCCCTATCTGAATTATGTGCAGAGCAATTGAGCCTTAATTTCTCCATCTGATTAATAGAGTCAACCTGAACTTGGTACTGAGCCTCTTACTGGAACAGCATAATAATCAGCTAACGCCAGGACAAGTTGACATTGCCATCAAGAGAACCTGGAGCAGTGAAGTGCTGGATTTGTGATCAGAATACTCGGGTTCAAATTCTGTCCCTGTTACTATCTATCTGACTTTTGACAAGCCACTTTTCTCTGGGACTCAGTTTCCCCATTTGTAAAAGGAGGGCATTGGACCAGGTAACCTCTAAGGTCCTCTCCAGGGAGCAGAGGGTAGAAACAGACCATTAACACTGTTTACCTTGTTTTCTTCTGTACTATTTTGTTGTTATTAAGTCAGTTTGGGGTTTTTCTTGTGCACCTGAGAAAGGAATTAGTGTTGGTGTGAGAAGGTTTGAATTCAAAGGAACTAGCATTGGGAAATGGAGGTGAGGCCTAGTATGGAGGTCACCCAGGTCCCTGAAAATGGCAAACCTGACCTCACCATCATTAGTTAATTATGAGCTCATCCAACAATGTGCTGTTAAATGTTTAACAACCAGCTCTCTGGGGAAAAAGTTATGTATGGCACACTTTCAAGTTTAATCGATATTTAATATATACTTCCTCCAACACTTTCTTAAGTCTAGACAATCAACAAATAATAGATAAAACTTTCATTTGTAGCATTTACCCATTTCTAAGGTGTAAATGCTCACACTGAAAATTTAATGATTAAAGAGCCAGTTTGAACTGGCTCGATTACACCCCAATTCCATCCCATCTGAACTTAATAGGACCCCACACAGAAGTGAGAGTGAAGATTGATAATGTGAGATTCATTGCAATACTGGATAGTGGATCTCTGGTGAACATCGTGTTCTAGGCCTTTCGTGAAAAATATCTGAGGATAATTCTAAGCCTATAAAAACGCTAAGTAAGACTCAACGTACCAAACTGACAGGACTATCTATACATGGGCTATGTCAGGGTGAGTCTAAAGCAGGGGTGAGGAAACTGCAGGCTAGAGGCGCACGTGGCCTTCTAGGTCCTTGGGTGCAGCCTTTTGACTGAGTCCAAGTCTTATAGAACAAATCATTTTATTAAGGGGATTTGTTCTGTGAAATTGGATTGAGTCAAAGGGCCACACTTGAGGACCCAGAGGGCCTTGTGTGGCCTTGAGGCCACAGATTCCCCACCCCTGCTCTAGAGTTTTCTAAGGGGGTTGGTTGTTTGCAATGGCAGGAAAGTGGAAACATTGGTTCTACGACATACAGAACTGGAGAACACTTTTTTGTCATATCAGCATTGATTGGGATGAATGCCCACTTGCCTAAGATACTAGCAGCATACTGTAAGCAGCAAGTTGGGACTCAGTACCTGGATGTTTTTATTTTTTAAAAATTTATTTGATTTTCAATCCACAGAACAAAACAAGCATTTCCATAACATGATAATAAAAAAGTTGATTGCACATAAAACATAAAATCTATCATATATGATTTGCTATTCCCTCCAAATATACCACAAAGTTATCATGTAAATCTTTTTTTTTTTTGTCATTTTTCTCCCACCTCCCCCCCATGGCTACCATCCATGAAGGTCTCTAAGAAGATAAAAGTAAGCGGTAGCCTAGAACACCCTCAGAGCACCAATTTCTCCAATTTAGGAATAGAATTGTAAATATTTAACTTTAGTAATTATCTGGTGCCTGAAGAATGGAAGAACTGGTTGAAAGAGAAGCTAAAAAGGTGAACAAAGGTGTTCTTATTGCAAAAGGATGATGTGAAAAGTGACTGAGGAGTAACTTTCCTTACTGAGACCTAACCTTTTCAAGGGTGATCGTGAGAAGATTCCCTTAGATCTCAGAAACAACTTGAATGAACTGCTGATCAGTATTATCATTATAGAGTCTAGCAGTCCATATACATCCCTTATAATTGAGGCACAGAAACAGACTAGGGAGATACGGATGTGCGTAGACTGTCAGACTTGGAATAAGAGAACAAAACTGAACCAGCACACCATGTGGTATACATGCACAATATGCCCTGGATGACTTAAGAGGCAGCTAGTTTTAGACTGACATAGTAGACTGTCAGATAACATGAGTAAGACGAAGAAGAGACAATTTTCTTGGGCTCAGGGGGTGTTGCCAGTCTGAAGTATGACCCCAGAGTGTCTCAGAAGCTCCCAAGTAGCTTATGGGATAGTTCAGAGATATGAACTACATGGAAGAATAGGTGACCCTAGGTTGCCTCAACTGTCTTCAGAAAGACACTGGAAGAGCATGAGGAGAGAAAGTGTTGGATAAGTTCTGTCTCCAGCTCATTTTACAGATGCCAGAACCAAGGCAAACAGGGTTAAGTGATTTGGCCAGGGTCCCACAGCTAGTGAGTATCTCAGGGTCTTCCCGACGCCAAGCCTGGAATTCTATCCATTGTGCCACCTAGCTGCCCAGAGTCAGGAAGATCTTGGGCAAGTCACTTAGCCCTGTTTACCTCAGTTTCCTCATCTGTAAAATGAGCTGCAGAAGGAAATGGAAAACCACTTCAGTATCTTTGCCAAGAAAACAACAAATGAGGTGAGGAAGAATCAGACACCACTGAAAAAATGACTGAACAACAATGCAATTCTATAATGCATAGCTATGTGGTTGGTGGCAAGTAACAGCCCATCAACTATCACAGACTGGGTTATCATGGAAGACTGATAATTTCCACATTCTTAAGAACTATGCCACGTAGACTTTGTCGAAACTCTCTGGTACTCTGGGGTATGCTTTAAAGTATAATGCTTGAGCCTCCCCAAGTCATCAGAGAGCTGGATAGAACTGGGAATATGGACAAATGTGTCCAAAGCACCCCAGTTCACTTGCTGGAGATAGCAGATATTTAACTAGGGGAAAAATGTATTGGGGTGATTAGGATATCCCTGATCAATTGATTTCCACTCTCTTCCATCAGCCTAGTTGAAAAAGTCACTGGGGGGAAGGGAGTAGCTATCTGTGACAGCAAGATGTGAATGTTTCAAACAAGTATAAAGAAAAGTTGCCACTTTTTCACCCCTTTATAAAGTGTTAAGAAATTCTCTTTGATGGAAATAGTTTTGGGCTCCTCTCCTTAGGGAAAGATAGTATAGGTAGTGATGAGGGCCATGACCTCCATCTCCCCAACAGTGAAGAGGGCCAGCTGTGGAGTCAGGAGAGAATTAGCACTAGTTGCGAGAGCTAAAAATGCTTAGAGAAGCAAGCTTCGGTAGCAACCTGCTAGCAGAGACACTGTACCCGGAGGAGGCGGTGAAGAACAGTATGAAGACACCGAAATAAGAAAAAATGCTGGGGCCCTGTAGTGATGAAAACATGAGTAGCCTTGGCCACATGAGTTCCTTCTGGGTGTCCCTCCCTACCAGTGTAATCTATTATGTGCTTGTGTTTCCCCTTAACGCTGTTTTTGTTTCTGTCTGTGGGAGAGTATGTGCCTTAGTATTTTACTAGGGCATTTTAGGAAATGTCTTTCTTCTTTAAAACTAATTTTATCTAATGGCTGACTATTAAGGGTAAGAACACTAGTAGGGGTTTGTGAGCTATAGTTTTAGGAGCCAGGACCCACAAAGTACCTTCATGGTTGTCATCTTCATTATCAACAAGCATTTATTTGCTCCAAATCACTAATAATTAGAGAAACTCAGATTAAAGCAACTTGGAGATTCTACTTAAAAGCCATCAGATCAGCAAAGAAGACCAAAGAGTAAAATTACAAATGTTGGAGGGACTGCAGGAAAACAGGCACAATCAAGCACTGTTGATGGAGCTGTGAACTGGTCTGGCCATTTTGTGAAGTTTTTAGAATTATGCCTAAAACGTTACTAAGCTGTACGTATACTTCCACCTAAATAGACCTTACTAGACCTAAACCCCCAAGGAGATCAAAGACAGAGGGAAAGGAACTATGTGCAAAAAAGATATACACAACAGATTTTTTTTAATAAACTGGAAACTTGGTAGTGTAGCTAGATAGAGTACTGGGCCTGGAGTAAAGAAGACTCATCTTCCTGAGTTCAAATCTGGCCTCAGATACTTACTAGCTATGTAACCCTGGGCAAGTCACGTAACTCTGCCTCAATTTCTTCATCTGGAAAATGAGCTGGAAAAAGAAATGGAACAACACTTAAATATCTTTGCCTAGAAGAGTTGGACATGATGACTGAACAACAAAAAATGGAAACTAAGGGGGAGGTGCCCTCCTATTGGGGAATGACTAAATTAATTATGGAATATGAATGTAATAGAACATTATTAGGTTATAAGATGTGATGAAATGGATAGTTTCACCAGAAACTGGGAAAGCGTCTATGAACTGATGCAGAATGAAGTGAGTGGAGCTAAGAGAATGATTTATACAATGACAAAAACGGCATTTGAAAGATTTAGAACTTTAGTCAAAACAATGATAACCCAGGATTCCAAAGGATAGAAGATGAAACATGCTGCCTGCCTCCTGAGGACGGGTGATGGACTCAACATGCAGAATAAGAGTAGAACAGGTGCCTAGTTAGAACTTTCCGGATATGACCAAAATGGGGATTTGCTTTCCTAGACCTAGACTATGCCTATTTGTTCTGGGTTTTAAAAAAACCCATTTAAGAGAGGGAGAGATAATAAATTTAAATAAAATGATTTTTTTCAAAAGAGGAAAAAAACTCAATTATTTATTAATCACTGAGTGCCAGATGCCAGCTAAGTTGTAGGAATACAAAGAAAACCCAAAACACTGTCCCTGCCCTCAAGAATCTCACATTCTAACAGGGAGGCAACACAAACCATGTACATATAAGCTATATAGGCCGTCGACATGTCTTAACTCCTGCCTTGCCACTGGACTTTGATGACTCTGGAGGAGAGAGTGTGGCTGACAACTTTGTGCCTGACTTAAATCCATTTCACAAGTGAGCCAAGGCATCACCTTGGGATGTCATTTGTCCTCTTTGAAAAGGAAGGATGAACAGTGGGAGATCATTTCAAAGGGAGGGCACTGGCCATGGGGATGACTGGGGAAGGCTTCCTGCAGAAGGCAGGTCTTTGAGCTGAGTCTTGAAGGAAGCCAGAAGCCTAGAAAAAAAGGGGAGAAGGGAGAGAATTCCTGGGATGGGGTAAAGTCAGTGAAAAGATGAGGACCCAAGAGACAGAGCATCATTTGAGAGGAAGAAGGCCTTTGCTAAATTGCTAAATGTTAGATTAGAGTACATAAAGGATGGTAAAGTATAAGAAGACTGGAAAGGTAGGAAGGGGCCAGGTTATGAAGGGTTTAAAAGCCAGAGAATTTTATATTTGACGCTAGAGGTGATAGGGAGCCAATGGAGTTTACTTAGTAAGCAAGGTGAAGAGTCAGATCTGTACTTTAGAAAGATCCCTTTGGTACCCAAGTGAAACATGGGCTGGAGTGGGAGGAGACACTTTTTTGACCCTCCCCCTTCCCCACCCAGCCAGCAATCCAGTGAGTAGTCTGAGTTGGAAAGGAAGCCCAGAAATTGAGGATCAGAGAGATTAAGTGATTTTTCCAAGGTTGCACAGGAAGTGGCAAAATCAGGATCTGCTCTCAAGTCCCATGATTCCTAGCTCAGTCTGTGCCCTTTATTTACATTGAACTATGCTCTAATAGAAATACGTATAGCCTAAAAGTCGAAAGAGATACAACCATTTAGGAGGATAGTTGTCTCTCGAGCCCCATTTGCTTTTAGGAGTGCCCTAATTTCAGGACCACCTTGGGTTATCAGACACACCTATCCCTTTCACCTCAGCATCACAGCCTGAGATCAGTGTAAGCTCCAATGCACACAAGGCCTGGGGTATTCATTTCCCCTGGGCTTTTCATGGTTGGATCTGTCCTGGGCTCCTAGCACACATTGTCCATGAGGCAATGCTTACCTGAAGTATAACCTGCAGGGGTGTGTAATCAACCCAGCATAAAGTCTCCCATCTTCAGTATCCACACACCACCACCTGGTGGCCTTAGGAGGCTCTCCTAGATGACTAGGAGAGCAATGATTTTAAGAGAGGTTCAAGTGCCTTATCAATCGGTAAGTACTCCTCTTTCCCTCTGGACCTGTACACGGACTGTTCTCCTGTTTCTAGGGCAAACCCTTCACCCCCAGAAGCCTCCCGCTCCTTGCACTTTTCTTGCTGAGTCAGCCAGATGACTCTAATTGTCACCAGCTGTGTTACCCGCAGTCCTGCCTTCTTTAAAAAAAAAAAAAAGACTGCCCCGTTATGGGAAACATCAGAAGCCGTGTGTGTCGGTAGGTTTGCATGGGAATTTGTGCTCCCTAACGGCAGCAGAACACAAGACTGTGGAAGACTTTTAGTAGCTCAGGAGCAGGATTATGCTATGGGCTGAGGGCAGGGCTGAAGAAAGAGAAATGAGTCCTGAGTCCAGAGGTGAGGAAGAACCCAGTATGCTCATTCTGATCCTTGGGCCAGTCAGAGAAGGAAAGCCCTGCACGTCCTGAGATTCACAGTAAATTCAGGAAGGCTGTCTCAAGATTAAAGTTTAACTTCAGTTGAGGGTAGGGGTATTCTGGTAAATATTTAACAACTGGCTTTGAAAAAAAAGGTACAATACACTCTGCATTATTAATACTTAAGGCGAGACAATCAACAAAACAAATCAACCTTTGATTTCTAGTGTTCACCAATTTCTGAAGTGTAAATGCTCACACTGAAAATTCAACAATGCGCTTTTCTCATCGAGTCGGAACGGGCTCCAGCACAGCCCTGGTTGAGGGCAAATTCACCAGGTGCCTCATTGTCCTCCTGATGATTCTTTGGGATTACCCTGGGTTGGAATAATCACAGTAGCTCACATTACTATGGGGTCTGGAGACATGTTTTGTCCTTACAACCACCCCATGAGGAAGGTGCTAACATTCACGTTTCACAGACAAGGAAAAACAATCTCAGAGAAGTTAAGGGCTTGCCTAGGGTCACACAATGAGTAAGTATCCAGGGCAAGATTTGTGATGTTCTTGTTTTCAAACCCAACACCGGATTGAGATTCCCCAAAGCCCTGCTACTTCACAATAGTCCCATTGCATCCTCCACCCGCCCCCCCTTTACCCTTAGGAGTGCTCTTCGTGGCCCATGTGGATTCCAGGACAACGCACGCACCCAACCCTTTTTATCTCTGAGCTATCAGCATGTATTGCAATGCACACTCGGCTTAGGGTACCCCCCCCTTCCCCTTACTTTCCAGGGTTTGGCTTAGATTCAAAAGTGTTTGAGAGCTAGCTGCTGAGCCAAACCTCTCCCCACATTTCATCTTCTCCAACTTCAGCCCCTAGTTTCAGACAGGACAGGGGTAGGGTGCCATTTTGCTGAATACCCTTATTCTCATTTAACCGTCCAAACAGGGTTTGAAGCGGAGCCCAAATCTGAAACAAAATATGCCAGAAGGGGAGCAAAAACTTGCAGTTCAGCAACTGCAAAAGGGAACAAGAAAAGTTTTTTTGAGTCCATCCCCTCTTTCTCTTGCTTTTCGGGAGGAGTAGAAAGGGTGACTGTGAGACTGAGGATGTTGAAGCATTCTGGGCTCTTTGGGAGAAAGAGGCTACTAGAGGACACGGGCTGTTTCTTGTAAGGAGGGTGACTAATGCTCATTATTATGATTCAGCCTCAGCCTGGAAAACACTAAAGCCCGGGGGGGGGGGGAAAGGAAGGGAGACGACAAATCTCAGAGGCCAACGTTCTTACACTCAGAGGGACACCCAGCCAATATTCCTTAAGCCCTTGAGTTGATTAAGTCGCTGGGAGGGCTTAGGGGGACCCTTCCCCCTTCCTTCCAGGGAGCTGCATTCTCTTCTTTCAAGTCTTTAAGACCCCGGGAGGAAGAGAGAAAGTGAAAAGTGCATATCGCCTCGTTAAAAGAGCTTCAGCCCGGGCTTTGGTTGCTTGCTGAACTGGAGTTTCTGGAGGCAGGCAGTAAACAGGAAATGGTTAAGTAAGAGCAGGTGGAGGGGCTCGCTGAGCTTTGGAGCACAGCAGGAAATAGCTGAGTGTCTGAATGGATTCAAAAGAATGTTTCGGCCCCTCCTTCCCCCAGCCTCTGGCCGGGACGGCTTAGCCGCCCACGCTCCTTCTCAGGAGCTCCTCCTCCCTGTCTTTGCCGGACGCCCCCCCTCCCCTACACCCCCCTCCCCACGCCTCCAACTCCCCCCCCCCAACAGGCAAGGTAGGCTCTCAGGCCATCGCCTGCGCCGGGCCTCTGGGACCCTCCCTCTCCAGGACCGCAGCCTGTTAGGGAAGGGAAGCAGTGCCTCAAAGGGGAAATGGCACGTAAGATTCCTAACCTTCCAGGGACCGGAGTCTCTAGCATGACTGGCCCCAAGCTGCAGAGCTGCCTTGGGGACTGGAACCGAGTTCTCCTTGGATTCTTGTTCCCCAGAGGCCCCCTTTTCCCCATTGCCTGGGGCGAGCTGCTAACAATACTTTGGAGGTTCCTCCAGGATTCCCGCCTCGGGAATCTTAGAGCCAGAGCTGGAAGGATCCTCAGAGGCCATCTAGTACAATTTTACAGGCCCATGAAGACATGTCCAAGATCATAAAGATGAGGAATTCAAGCCTGGATCCCTGACTCTGGGACTTCAGTGCTCTTTCTGCATTCCACAGGCCCAGAGAACACTAAGGAAATTGTGGTAAAAAATCCACCCACAACTTCACACACACACAACACACACACACACACACACATCACACATGCCTTTCCTGGAATAAAAGCAGTCGTGATGTCCTTGTATCTTTTTCAGCAGGAGCTAACCAGAGGTTCCCCAATTTCTCAGCCGCCGATTATAAAATGTACTTTCTTTTTGCTAGCTGATTTCCTTTGGTTCACACTGCTCGGTGGGGTGTCTCTTGAAATGTAGCAGCTCATTGATCCCTGGGAGGCAACCAGGTGTGAGCTCCCCAGCTGAGGGCCCATCAGGCTAGAGCTGCTTGGGTCCTGTGTTGTGTTTGCACAGTGTGTGTCTCTCCCTAGCAAACCTGCAGCAGGCAGCAAGAATTCTTCAGCTGATAATGCTGGACCAGGGCTCCCAGCATGCACTTGTGACCACGGAGTGGTGCCAAGAAGATAAGAAGTTGTAGCTATGTCCACTAGTGATCCTGCACCCAAGCTTGACAAGACCTCACAGGCTTGGTCAGGATGGCCTTGAAACCTGGTGTGTGTGTGTGTGTGTGTGTGTGTGTGTGTATTAGATTACAGGCCCTTAGACTCTCATACCTTTCCTTCACAACACAGGGGCCTAAGAATGTTCCCAGTGCCATTTATGATGGCTTAAACCACAGCTGGGATTCTAGCTGCTGCTGCTATCTTGGAGAACAGAGTCCTCTGAGATCCTTAAGGAGCTGTTATTGTTCAGTCATGTCCAATTTTTTGTGACCCCATTTAGGGTTTTCTTGGTAAAGATATTGGAAAATGGTTTCCCATTTCCTTCTCCAGCATATTTTACAGATGAGGAAACTGAGGCACACAGTGACTTGCCCAGGGTCACACAGCTAGTAAGTGTCTGATGCCATATTTGAACTCAGTTAAGAGTCTTCCAGACTCTAGGCCCAGCATTCTATCCACAGTGTCACCAAGCTGCCCTCTACAAATACGAATTACTATTGTTCTTATCAGTTCTGTTTTTGAGTTTGAGGTCATGACTACAATATCCAGATAAAGATGCCCAGTAGGAGGTTGGAAATGTTGAGGGAGAGACTGAAGATGCAAAGACATAGATAGAAGGGCAAGAATTATTAAGGAAAGGGACCACCTCTCTCTGAGACAGGGAAGGAGAGAATGGGTAAATATACAGGGATTAGTGACCAGACCTGTGGTTTTGTTGGTGTAGGGAACTCCCTCTACCAATACTGGACCAGGCACTGTCTGCAGCTTGTGGTCTTAGAGTTAACTGCCTAGAGAACAGAGTTTAAGTGACTAGTCCAGCATCACACAGCCAGGATACATCAGAAGTAGGGCTTGACCAGGTGTTCCTGGCTCCCTGGCTTCAGTTCTCTATCCATTACACCATGCTGCTGCCTCTCTGGGGGAATATGTGGGCTTTTTGATGTAAAAAAGAAGAGTTGAACTCTCAGCGGATGACTTCCTCAGTCACTGGCAAGTTGGTCTGCCAGAACCAAGAGGGAGAGGAAGGGTAAAATTTCACACTGGTTGAGGGATAAGGCTCTCTTGGACAAGCGCCTGGATAAGGCCATCTAATGACCCAAGAAAGAGGAGAGAATGGATGAAATATGGGTCAGATAGCTCCTCTAACTACTTCATTGGTGAAAGACATGAATCAGTATCCTCCCCCTCCTAACCCTAGTATATTCGCTGGACCCTGAAGAGAAGACCTGTCATTACCTCCTTGTCTTGAAGACCAAATAGAAGGATAGATTTCTACTAGGGGATTGCTTTATATAAAGTGCAGCTAGGGCAGAGGCCTGGCAATGAGAGAAAATCAACTTCACCTTTGTATCCAGTTTGCTATCCTGTCCCTACCTTTGGCTCTGTTCATTCTCATAGTTCCTGACATGTCATTTGCCTGTTCTTACTGAAATGAAAGGCAAATCCATATCTACACAATATGCTTATGTGCATACATGCATGTACATATACATGTTCTATATGTGCATATATGTCATATATGTATATATATATGCACATAATTTTTTCTCGTTCAGTCGTTTCAGTCGTGTCTAACTCTTTGTGACCCCATTTGTGGTTTTCTTGACAAAGAAAGTGGTTTTCCATTTCCTTCTCCAGCTCATTTTACAGTTGAGGAAACTGAGGCAAACAGGTTAAGTTCCTTGCCTAGAGTCACAAAGCTAATAAGTGTCTGAGGCTGGATTTGAACTCATGAAAATTATTTCTTCTGATTCCAAGTTCCTAAGCTCTATCCACTGTGTCACCTAGCTGCTACATATACCCCAAATATGTACATTTGTATATATACTTATATATTAATGTTGATATTCAGTTTGGTATCTGAGCTGGATATCCAGTTCATGCAGGACTTGGCAGCTTATCCGCAACTCCTACTGTTGGCAAGTTTAGTGAGATTAGGTTGGGCTCTGCAGCCAACTGATCCTCCCTAGATGATCACTCTTTAGGAGGTAGCAACCAGGAAAAAGGTGATAATGCATATCTGCACACACATTGGTCAGGGAAACTTGTCAATCTGAAGACTCTGAAACAGAGAGAATGCCTACTGTGGGATAAACCCACTTAACGGAGAGGCATATGTAATATGAGAAGCATTAGAAGGTCCTTCTTCTATCTCTCTCTCCCTTTGGTATTCTATAATGCTTAAGTTGCCATCAGTGAAGACCAGTTCATTTAGAAACTCAACTGGATTTGTTGCGAGTTCCCTCCAATGATGTAAACCCAGTGTGACTCTTGTTCATGTTCTCCCAAAAGTTTGCTTTAGGGAGTCTACCCAACACGCTAGAGGCTTTCCTTGCTTTCTCCTGATGTTTGAGATTACCAGTGAAACACTTGGCTGTCTTCCTGTCATTCCTTGCCCTTTCCCATCTTCTATTCCTGTGTGTGCTGATTTCAGTGTCCCAAAAATCTTGGTGCCATTTTAAGTTTAATAACTATTTTTTTTTTTTGGTGAGGCAATTGGGGTTAAGTGACTTGCCCAGCATCACACAGCTAGTAAGTGTTCTTTGTCTGAGGCTGGGTTTGAACTCAGGGCCTCCTGACTCCAGGGCCGGTGTTCTATCCGCTTCACCACCTAGCTGCCTCCTTTTTTATTTTTTAATTTTTTTAATAACCATTTAAGCTATTAAAAGCTTACTCCTGTTTAACTTTGGGTCGAGGTGGCTGTCAATGTGTACCATCAGTATTACATATGCATATAACTGGCTAAGCTCTATACAGTATCCATCCAAATATATGTTGAAAATTGAACAATACACATTCTTCATCCACTTTATCTTTCTTGTGTGGATAGACAATCCAGATTCTTTTGACTAATTACAAATCTCCTCCAGGAAGCTTTTCTGGGGTCAGATGTAATCAGGACAATGGTCTGCAAATAGGATCATCTGGAGGACCTTACCATGCACAGCTAATCCAATCTATCTTCAACCTAGATTGGTCTTGGATCTTCTCTATCGCAATGAGGCATCATCCTGGTAAGCATATATCTCCCTGTTTTGTGCTTCATCTGATTTTTCTTATCAGGGGGTTACTAAACAGTGTTATTTCTGTTACACCTTCTAAAGAATCTTGAATGATTGTGATTTATGAATGAGACTTGAAAAAAGTGTTTTGTTTCTAATGAAATAATCAACAAACAATAAGCAAAATGGACATTTATATTCTCTAAATCTTTCAGTTAATTGTGAGATGGGCAAAGATATGATCTGTTGTTAAATTTTGCTTGTGAAAGCCTGCTTGTACCCTACTGAAACTCCTATAGACAATATCCTTAGTTCACATATAGGTGACTAATAAAGATTTGGTGTGGATGGGATAGTAGGCATAAGGATCAGTAGATATTGATGGGCTCTCAATCATCTTTTTTTTTTTTTTAGTAATCTGTTGTTGTTCAGTCATTTTTTAATAGGGTCTACCTCCTTGTTTCTTGGCCAAGATACTGGAGTGGTTTTCCATTTCCTTATCCAGCTTATTTTACAGATGTGCAAATTGAGGCAAACAGAGTTATGTGACTTGCCCAGGGTCACATAGCTAGTTAAGTATCTGAGGCTGGATCTGAACCCAGGAAGATGTTTTCCTGATTCCAAGCCCAGCGCTCTGTCCAATGCTTCAACTGGCTGCCCACTTTGGGGTAATAAAGCTTAATAAAGAATAAAATCTTTCCCCCTCACGCCTTTAATACCATCCCCTCCATAAATGCCATAACCTTCTACATCCTCACAATTATATCATTTCTAGCACAGATACCTCTTGATTCAATCTGGCTGCTTTTTCCCATCTTCATTTTTTTCTAGACAATTTCTGCCTCCTCTTTAAACACACCTGGGACTGTCGTGTCACCATATATGGTGATTCCACTGTTTTTGGTAGAGAAGTTAAAATGGTTTTTGAAAATTTTCTCCATTTTCTTCTTCTTTTTTTTGCCTGAAGACCTCCTTCCATGTACATCTTTGAATGTCTTTGGGATGACTTACCAAGCTTTCTTTCAACTGGTTTTATCTATCACTTCTTTTTTCTGTAGGAGATGATGTTGCTTGTAATCATCCATCATGCTTCTCTGTAAGCTTTTACAAATGAGCATATGTTCAAGCTTACCTCTGGCAGGAATTTTGGCAAGTAAGTCAGATGTTTGCTGATGAAGGTGTTTTCTGGGATCATTTGGTCTCCTTATTGGGGCAATTAATTTTGTTCCTTTCAGTAATCTTCCTAAGAACAGTTGTAATGATGTCGCTGCCCTGTTCAAAAGCCTTCCCCATTGTCTAAGGAGTTTGGAATAAATTCCACTAGCCTGGCATGCAAAGGTCGCTATGATCTGTCTCACTTTGTGCCATTGCTTAAGTCATCCCTTAATATCTGTAGCATGACCTCTGGAAGGTCTTCTCTTACTTCAAGGCCCAACCCTGATGCTGCTTTTCTCAAGAAGTCTTATTTGATTCATTTGGCAGGAAGTACTCCTTCCCTCCTCAGAGTACTTTGTTGAGACCTGTCTTTTATGTTTATCATATTCTAATTTGTACTGTTCTTATTTGTGTGCTAATGCTTATTTAATGTTGTTGTTATTCATTTTTATCAGTCGTGTCCAACTCTTTGTGACTCCATTTGGGGTTTTCTTGACAAAGATACTGAAGTGGTTTGCCATTTCCTTCTCCAGCTCATTTTATAGATGAGGAAACTGAGGCAGAGTTAAGTGACTTGCCCAGGGTCACACAGCTAGTAAGTGTCTAAGGCAGAATTTGAACTCAGGTCTTCTTGACTCCAGACTGGGTACTGTATTCTGATTGCCACCTAGCTGCCCCTAGAGCTTTATCTCCG